GCCCGGTTCCCACACCCCCCAAGTCCCCTGCACTGGCCGGCTTCCGGGGCGGGTGGAAAGGAGCCACAAGCGCGGCGGTTGTCCCAGCCCCGCCGGCGCTCAGACCACAATTGTGGGAGCCGCCATCTTGAGACCGTCCCGCTTCCCCGCCCAGCGCTTAGTGCAGCCGCCGCTCCCGAGACAGCTTCGACACTCGTAAGGAAGAGAGGCGCGCCGGAGGCCAGTGGAACGAGCTCCAATTCTCCGAGGCTGCTCGGAGGCTCGCGCCGTACAGCTCGTGAGGTCTCGAACCTCTCCCCTTAGTCCGCCTCTGCTGCTCAGGCTGCGCCTGCCGCCCTGGGAGCCGCCATCTTGAGACTAGCTCCCCCTTCCCCCCTATTCTCTTCCTCCTGGATCACTTCTTCCACTGCAAACCAAACGCAAGGCAGCGTCCGATCCTGGCTTCGCTCCTTATGACTCCTTCCCACAGGAGCCGCTCCAAAGAGCCAGAGTTAGGCCCCTAAGTAGCAACTGTACGGCAGGAGGAGCGGTAACGGCAGGGCGCTCATGCCTCCTCCCTGGGAGCCGCCATCTTGTGTGAAGAAGTAACAACTAAACATGGCGGCGGCAGCGGTCTGGCGAGTGGGCGGAGTTGGGCGACGTCATTGCCCCCCTCCCTCCCTCGCACGGTTTCGCCTCTGGGCCGAGGCCTCTTAAAGGACCCCACACTGCCTCGCGGCGAGAGCCCAGGGCCACTGCGCGCTCGGCTTGGGCTCAGGCCGCGGTCAAGTCAGGCGCAGGCGCGCCCAGCCCCGCGGCCCCCCCACCGCGCCTCCACGCCTCCGCCCTGGGAGCCGCCATCTTGCCACTTCCCTTCGCCCGGCCGTCCGCGGGCGTCAATAGCGAGTTTCAGCACAAAACAAAGATGGCGGCTGCGGCATCTGGGGAATGCCCGGATGAGAATGCCTCAGACGAGCTCGGCCCCGCCCCCCTTGGGAACTGTCCCCCGGGTCGCCGAAGGGACACACGCCCGAGGAGTTGCCTTTAACTAGCAGTGGGGACTGGGCATAGGTTGCTGAGGGTGGCTGACGGGAGACATTAAAGTTGCGACTCGGGCTGGGGAACGGACGTTTTGCCGCTTCACACACCCAGCAGCCGCAAGAAACGCGGCCCGAGCCAGCCGCGGGGGTAGCCGGAGGCGGGGCGAGAGTGGGCGGTGACGCGGCCGGCTCCCAGGCCCGCCAGCCCCGCCCCCGGGCGCCACCGCCACCGTGCGCGCCGCAACTAAGCCGGGCGGCGCGTCCGGGGCAGCCGTGCGCCGGGTACCCCCCTGGCCCACCTGCCACAGGGTGAGCAGTCAGGCCAGCGGCGCCCGAGGCGAGCGGGCGGGCGCGGGACAGCCCCGGGCCGCCCGGCGTCACCTCGTATCACCCCGCCCCGCCTTGCCTCGCCTGCTTCCCAGAGCCCCGTGCTCCGCCCCGCGCGCAGGCGCACGGCCGCCCTTCGGGTCCGCCCTTTTTCGAGATTTGAATTTCCCCCAGCAAAGCGAGAGAGGCAAAATACCCGGATGGTGATCGCTGGCCTTTTCGCGCCAATACTGTAAGTTCTCACAACAAGCCTGAGAGGTGGGTACCCGCGTCGTCCCCATGTTCCAAATCTTGCGGGAGGCCGCCTGGACGCTACACCGTGATCCTCACTGCCAGACGCAGGCTGTAGTGTAGGGGTCCTGCGCTGGTGTCCGGGAGCTTGGAGCAACAACGCATGATTTTTCCACTTTCTCTCATGTTTATTTCCTTTGTTTTTCCTCCTCATCTTTATTTCATCTTTATTTTCACCAGCCTCTAGCTGAAATTCGGCCTTTCCCGCGATTACGAGGGTAGGCAGCAGAGCACAGAGCGTTAGCCTGGTGACTTTGTCACCAATGGAAATGACATCGTTTCAGATCATACAGCGTTTGTTGTAGATAGCCTGAAATTAACTAAATTCCAAGAACTAACGGCAAGCAGAATAAGTACTTTGAAGTTACTGTAGTTATTCGACCTACCCATAGATCTTGTAATTTAACCTATTAATGAAGAAGCAGATATGTTACCGTATCACACATTTTCAAAAATATTTTAATAACGTCTTTTGATATATTAGATTTCTGTCTTAATTCTCTGTCTTAGTTTGTGCATTTGGAAGCATTTGTTTGAGAAAGGCCAAAGAAGCCTGTGACACAGCCATAGGACAAGAGCCCTCACCTGTTTGGCCGTGCCACCAACTGCCCTAAGTGACCATTCACCTCATCTCTCTGGCCCCCAGTCCCTCCCCTGTAAAATAAGGAAGCCAAGCTGTTGATCTCCAGGGGCCTTGCCCACCTTCAGAAATTCTCCCCCAAGAGTTCAGGAATCACTGTGGTTGCTCCTGGCTCCTTGGGCATCCAGTGGCCCAGATTGACCTCGCCTGCTAGGGATGTGCCACATTACAGCCCTCAGGCTGGCATTCCCTTATCTGCAGAAAGGCAGCAAGGGCGGTCAGGGGCACAAGCAGTTGTCATAAATGCCAGAGGCCTAAGAAGCCACCACTGTGACAGGTCACAGTGGCTTCTGCTTAAACACATACAGCCCCAGGAAGCAAGAGAGTCAAAGGAACACACGTTAACCCCTTAGCCGAGAGTTTGTCATGCTTTGCAGGACTTCTGCAAAAGACCCCAGAACTTTGGGCCGACGCTGTTAAGCCCTTGGCCTTTGTGTGCCAGGTGCTGGGGGAAGCTGTGAATAACTTTGAGTGTCATGTGACAAGGGTCATGGCAGTTTGGGGGTATGGAGGAGCTAGACCATAAAGTCTTCCTGGTGGAGTTGGAAAGTTGGTTTGATTACGTGTCTCTTTCAGCTTGCACAAGGGCTGGTGTGGACTCTGCCTGGCTGCTGGAGAGAAGAGTCGCTTTCCACGCCCTTCCTGGACCTCCTTCTCTATCAAGTTGATACTGTTTGGCTCTTGTCCCTGGCCCTCCTCCATGCTTCCCAGCAGACAAGAGGGTCAGGCTAACGTGGGCCACATAGGGCCCCAAAGGCCTGGCACTTTCTGCCAGGGATCCAGGCCCCAGACGGGTGCAGGGAAGGACCCAGAGCCCAGGCGGGGCCTCAGCTGGCTTCTCAGCTGGAGTCAGGAGCTGAATGGGGAAGCCGCTGACAGGAAATGACAGCCGAGTTGAGGGTGTGAGCAGGCCAGACACAGGAGGGAATAAGGACTGCAGAGTCTCATTTAGCTGGAGGACAGAGTGGGCCTGGGGAGCTTGCAGGGCCACCTGGGAATGGCACTTTGATGTCTGGCCAAGTGGTTGGGACGTGATCGTGCGTGGAGTGGAAAGCCAGCCATTGAAGGGTGTTAAGCAGAGGCTGACATGATCCAATCCAAGGGTACTTAAAGAAAATACTAGGTACTTAAAGAAAGTGCAGATCATGTTAGCAGTGGCCAGCCTGGAATTGGGAACCTTGGGGCAGGGGCGGCCCCCTGGACCTGGAGCCTCCGTAGTCAGAGAGGAGGGGGTTGGGGGCGGTGTGCGGCAGTCCCACATGCTGAGATGGAGGCTTGTGGTCAGCGAGGAGACGCAGAGTCGGGCTGAGGGCTTCAGTTCACTCATGGAAGTGCTGGGCCTCATGGTCCTCCTAACAACGGACCCCCAAGACAGAACGGGAGCAAGAAAGCTCAGCGTGAGGTGCAGCTGTGCCCTCCCCAGAGAATCCAGGTGGGCCCCCAGGGCCCATCTGAGAAGTGAAATGGCAAATAAGACCAGTGAGAGGGTGAGGAAGAGGAGCAGAGGCGCTGGCTTCATGCTGGAACTGAGCTGACCTGAACTGGAGCAGGTCTGCACTGTGCTGGAGGGAGAGCAGTTAGAGCCTGCCCCACCCACCCTTCAGGATCCCAGCTGTCGGGGGTGTGGGGAGACACGACACAACACTGTGCCTCAAAAATACACCGTGCGAAGTGGTCTACGTATATAAGAATTCGTTTAATCCACACAACAACTCGGCCAGAGGTTCTGGTAGGGTCCTGTTCTACAGGTATGCAAACTGAGGCCCAGAACAGTTAAGGCCCAAGGTGACACAGTAGGTGGGTGCTGGGGTTTGAACACAGACAGTCCTCGTTCCCACACCTGCCTGCCTGCCGTCTTGACTTTGAGTCATTTTCAGAGCCTTAATCCTCTTCTTTCTTTGATATTAATACATTTCTTGTCTACTAGGCCAACTCACACTGCAGCTGGCCCCAAAGCAGTTAACAGTCAGTGATAAATTTCTAAATTGTCTGTCTGTTTCTGTGACTGGAGGAAATGGAAGGTTTTATTGTGGGCCAAGGAAAGCAGGTGATTTGGGACTGTACAGCACTTCAGGGGAGGGGAGCAGGCCTGGCCTCACACCTGAGAAGCAGGTGGGAGATGCTCGTCCTCTTCCTCCTCCTCCTCCTCCAGCACCATGCCATCCCTTGCCTTATATTGTAGAACTTGGACCACAGCTAATGGTCTTGAGTTCCCCTGGGTATTTGGTTAAAAGGGCATTAGGGCTGGCCTGGAATCGTCCACATTTCTAACACCACTGAGGTGGGAAAGCCCATTCTGAGTTGTCATAGCAGACCTAGAGAAGGTTTATGTCTCTAAATGCAGGGGCTCCGAGGGAACTAGGGCAGTGAGCAGGCTTTTTATAGCACAGACGAAAGAAGAACAGCACAGGTGTCAGGAGAGAGAGGCTTCTAGAGGCCATGCATAAGAAAGTGAACATACTGTGGGTATCGCTTCACTTTGATTTCTGTCTTTTCTGGTGAAAACTGTTGGTGGATCCTGAGGCTGAGAGCGGGAAGATGGAGGCTCGTTTTTGGATGGTCTTCTTTCTAACCACACTCTTTTTCTAACCACAAAGGAAAAAGGCAGAACGTTCTTCCACTCGTGCCAGCCAATCAGCAGGAGCCTGGCTTCCTCTGGCCTGCCCCTGCCATGCTGGGCCGAGGGCGCCACGGCTGCCTCGGAGATCCCTCCCATCGGAGATCACAGGACTTCTTCCTGCTGGCTCAGCCTGGAGGCCGAGGAGTGTTTTGCAAAAGCTGTTTATCTGAATTCTGAAGGAACGTGGAGGCTGCTGCTCTTTTAAGCTCTTTGCCTCAGAGTCACACCTAGGCTTCCAGATGAAGCCTGAGTCGGGGCAGGCCCTCTTCCACGTGGCCATTGCCAGCTGCCTCTGCGCAGCCACCGTCTACACGGGCGTTTTCAAAGGCGTCCTCATCCAAGTGGGCTATGAGCACTATGCTGAAGCACCAGTAGCCAGCCTCCCCGCCTTCCTAGCCATGCCCTTTAACTCGGTCATTAACTTGGCCTACGTGCTCCTGGGAATGTACTGGCTACAGAGAGATGCCAGCGCCCTGGGGCGCCCCGCAGAGGTGCAGAGGGCTCGTTACATGAAGGACATTTTTGCTGGCATGGCCCTGGTCTATGGCCCCGTTCAGTGGCTGCGGATCGTGACGCAGATGCCCCTCGCGGCCGTGCTCGACCAGTGGCTCACCTTGCCCATCTTCGCGTGGCCAGTGGCCTGGTGCCTCTTTCTAGACAGGGGCTGGACACCCTGGGGCTTCCTCGCCATCGAGTGCCTCTCCCTGTGCAGTTACGGCCTTGCCCTGCTGCACCCCCAGGGCTTTGAGGTCGCGCTGGGTGTGCACATTGCAGCCACTGTGGGCCAGGCCCTGCGTGCCCATGGGCGCTATGGCAGTGCCTCCTCAGGAGCATACTTGGCTCTGGGTGTGCTCTCCTGCCTGGGCTTTGTGGGCCTTAAGCTATATGACCATCAGCTCACCCAGTGGCCTTTCTTCCAGCAGCTCACAGGCCACTTCTGGTCCAAAGTCTGTGATGTGCTCCAGTTCCACTTTGCATTCTTGTTTCTAACAAATTTAAACACTTGCTAAAGACTTCCTTCTGAGAGGAGGATGCATTAAAATATGGAAAGAAGTTACTTAAGCCGCTGACTCCCCAACATGGAAACGGACTATCAGATGACATTCTGCCATCAGTGTTAAATTTCCTGGGTGTGAGAAGATACAAAGATGTGATGATGTTTATATGATGAAGACTGTCCCTGCCTCCAAAGTTATGGGCTTCAGTATTTAGGGGTGAAATGTTATGCTCTCTGCAACTTACTTTCAAAGAGATAAAGCAAATATCTAGATTCAGGGGATGTGGGGGTTCATTATACTATTCTTGTAACTTTTGTGTAGTTTGAAATTTTTCAAAATAAAATGTTGCAGGGAAATGACCCCAAGAAATCCATCACACTCGCAGTTGGAGAGAGAATGGCTGTCTGTAATAGCTCTGGGGTGTCGGTTACAAGTGCGGGCCAGTGACAGCAGGGTAACCAGTGAGTGTCCCCAGAGGTGACTGGGTTCAGGGAGACTGAGTCACGTTAAACACAAGCCCAGCAGACTGGTAGGGAAGTCAGAGGGCCAGAGCACAAGGCACCATGACATCTCTGACTGCCAAGAAGACAGCAGGTCACATGGAAGCCACGTCACCTCAGATCCTTTATGGAACAAGGCAGAGTACGTCTAGATGAAGAAACACATAAATGTCAAAAGTTGAATTCTCAACAGAATGTTGCTTGGTGGGTCTGCCCTCAGAGCTAGGGTGTGGCTTAGATGTGCTTAGTGGCCAGGGTTACTCAAGTGTTGTGTGTCTGTCGCCATTGGAGAGACCCAAAGCGTGGTCCGAGCAATCCCTGCATCCCCGTCACCCCAGGTCCTTAGGAACCATGATCTGATGGCATCTCAGGGTCATGCCCTGTAGTTGGCATCTTTAAACTCCCCAGTGTACTTGTGCAGATGGCAATGTTTGAACCAGTGAGCCCGAGGGGGATGCTGCGGTCAAAGAGGTGCTGGGGGTCCTGCCTTTGGGTTGCCCTCTGCAGACCCCTGGATACCATCCCCTCTGTGTGCTTTCTTCCCACTTGTTAACGTGTTTTTAGAAAGTCTGTTCATCCCCTGTGACCTGAAAGGCATCTGGTCTTTAAAGACAAAGGCAAGGGCAGAGGAGAGAGGACGCCCTGTCTCTCCCAATGCCTTCTCAAGACAGGCTGCCCACATGCATCTGCTCATGGCCCCCCAAGGCCCCTGTCCCTGGAGCCACGCCAGTTGACCTGCGGACTGTTGCTATGACTACCGGGATGCTTTTGAAACTGGGTACCTGAGCCGGATGTTCTATTTCAAGTGGATGGGTGGGTCTCAACCAAGCTGTCACCTGAAAAACCCAGCCGATGAGGGCCCACCAGCATTGCCTCTGCCTGGGCAGCAGCCAGCCAGCCTCTATCCCTCCCCAAGGCCTGAGCACATGGTGGGGCCTGGCCCAGGGCTTGGGGCCTGAGGCAGGGTGTGCAGGTGGGTGAAGAGCTGGGGCAGCATTTACTTGGGGAGACAGCTTGGTTCCATTCATTGTCTCGGAGGCTCTATATGCCCTAGAAGACGAAAAAGGCTATAGGCATCTCCAGAGAGGCCGCCTGTACCTCAAAGAGGCCGGAGGGAGGGAGGGAGGGGGAAGACGTGCTTCCTTGGGTGGCGCAGTTAGAGATGGGGGGTGGGAGGGTGGAGGAATGTGAGGGGACCAGGTTCTTGTATGGGGCAGGCTCTTCACCTGGTATCCAAGTGAGTTTCCCCTTTTGCTATTTCTGAGTCACTGTTTCCCTCGTTGACAGAGTAGATCCACAGAGAATTGTTGGGCCTTTGCATTGTCTGGTTCATTCCACACTTTTGAGCTGCAAGCACCAATAATGTTTTATTTTATTTTGTTTTATTCTATTCTATTTTTACCAATACCTATTTAATAAATAACCCTGAGAACCTTCTGGGTTTATTACACTCCTGTGTCGGGCTGGGTCCCCACAGGAAACAGGTGGCACACTCAGATTAGGGTGATTCAGGACAGTTTCGTGGAGAACTATGCACACCACTGGGGGGAGGGGCCACAGGGAGCCTTACCACTCGGGGGCCTGGGGAGACCCTGGGCAGGGGGACTCCACCCAAAGGAGAGACCCGTGCAGAAGGGAGCCCTCGGGCGGGGCAGAGACCTCCAGTAGCCCAACTCCATTCTCTCCTGCCGGGGCTCCCATCCAAGGATATCAGATGAAATGCAGGACAACGAATAATGTTTTAGTAGCAATGTACCCCAAATCTCACATGAGACATGCTTATACTAAAAAATTGTTCATTGTTTATCTGAAATTCAAGTTTAACTGCGTGTCCTGTCTTTTTATTTGCTAGATCAGACAACGCAACGTTGAGCCCACCTGACCAAAGCCAGAGGCCTGGAACCTTCTCTCCCTAACCCCTGTTTTTGATCAATGTGTCTCAAAGTGTGGCCGGCATTAGCCACACAGCTTCCTGTGTCCCCTCCAGCCCTGGCGAGCCCTGGCTTCTGGGGCCGGGACCTCAGACTGCCTCAGCCCTGCTCCGAAGTTTGAGGGTGCCAGCAATGTTTGATACGCTAGAGGAAGGAGGCTGGTGGCTGTGTCCTCTCCTAGCTCTGCTCTGAGCTCTGCAGCCCTTTAGTCCGCAGTGCCTCTGAGCAGTTCTTGCCCTTCCCTGGTCGGTTATCCTGTGTTGTTATTGTCATTGTCTCCATCTTACCCCGCACAGCTGAGAAGTCAATGGTTACCAGATGGGCCCTCTCTCCGCATTTGTCCTAACGGTTTAGAGGATCTTAGAAACCATCTGTGCCAACCCCCTCATTTTATAGAAACTGAAACTCTAGAAGTTTGGCTCGGCCGAAAGTTGCAACACTGAGCATGAGAAAGCCAGGCATCCTGCCTCTTCAGCACAAAGGATCGCTCTCCCCTTCCCTGGAAGAAGGGACAGTCATGTTGCTGCCTGGCCTCTTGCTTTCCCGTACCGTGGCCTAGGGATTTGCCCTCCAGTGAAAACACTGGAGGTTTTGGTCCGGTGGTTTTGCTCTGATTGTGTAGGTGATACAGGCTCCTGGGTGACGGACAGACAATGAGCCACCTGATGGGCACAGATGCCGCCCCGGCCCTGTTGTGCTTTAGTGACATCCCGTGCTCAGCTGGGGCTGGTACCAGGCTCCTTCCCCCTGTCCTCATCCAGTGCTCCAATTCCTTCTCAGCTTTCGTTCCTGCGAGCGGTGCTGCTGGAAACGGCATGCGGCCACCTTGCCCCTGCGGCCTGGAGCGCACCTTCCTCTAGGTTGGTCTCAGGAGTGTGTTACTTGTCCCACTGAGGCTCATGGTAGACGTTTCTCCCAGCAAGGTGTTAGCACACTGTTTCAGTTTCTACCAATGTGATGGGGGCAAAGCGAGATGTTATCGTGACTAGCTCATGACCCCACCACATGGGCGCACACACATACACACGCACACATATAGCTGCACAACTGGTGCGTGCATTTGTCTGTTGGAAGTTTGCATTTGTTCTGTAAGTTGCTTGTTTATATCCTTTCCTCATTTTTGGACTTTTTCTTCTCAATTTGCAAGAGCTCTTTTTGTAGTATTATAAATATTAACCATTCATCTGTCATACAGATGATAAATATGTTTTCTTGATCTATGGTTTGTCTTTTGGGGGCATCTTAAGGCAGCATGGTTGAAGATTTATGTAGTCATGTCTGTCTGTCTGTCTTGTTCTTCAGAGCTTTGGGTTCCGGCCTTGCTTACAGCAGGTCTCTGGGCACCTTGATTATCCTTGTCTATGTATCAGTTAGCTTTGTCTGGTCTCAACATCTCCTACAGCTGCTTCAGACCTTTTTCATTATAAAATTTTAATTATAAATTATTAAAATAATATTATAAAATATTATTATAAAATAGTTCAAATTTACATTTAGAAATAAAACAGTGCAGCCGTCTTCATTGTCAACATGACAATTTCCCAAACTGGTGACCGGGCGCCCGCCGCGGTCGGGTCTCACCGAGGAGAGGCAGGGCCGTAGGCCTGTGTAAGCTCTTTCAGTGCAGCACGGCTGACAGGCAAAGCATTGCCCTCTCACCTCTGAGGGTCTCCGGGAGTAGAAATCTTTTTTTTTTTTTTTTTTAAGATTTTATTTATTTTATTTTTTCCCCCCAAAGCCCCAGTGGATAGTTGTGTGTCGTAGCTGCACATCCTTCTAGTTGCTGTATGTGGGACTCGGCCTCAGGATGAACGGAGAAGTGGTGCCTCGATGCGCACCCGGGATCCGAACCCGGGCCGCCAGCATCGCAGCGCGCGCACTTAACCACCAAGCCACAGGGCCGGCCCAGAAATCTTTGATATATATAAACTAGGCAATTTATGTCCTCAAACGAGCCCCCAAATAGTCATGTGATTAGGGGCGCCCCTTCCCCTGCTAAGTGGAGGACTTGGGGCCCTGGTTGTTTCAGCCCCGATGTCTTTCTGCCATCCCTGGGCTGCTTATGACAAGCACTGTTCATCCTGGGGGCCCTTTAAGCCCCTGCTGCCTGGCTGCTAAGTGACTGGGCGACTGGCCGGCAGCCTAGGCCATGGTAGCACAGCAGGCCCTTCTAGCCATTTTCATGTTTTTCTGGTATTTTCTTCCACTTCCCGCCTTTCGCTTTGATCTTTGCCCTCTGTTTCTCTTCAGAACCGCTGACTTCGGGTTTTACTTCTGCCTCTTCTTTCTTCCACTGGGGCCTCTGCCAGGGTATCTGCACCTCCGCCATCTCAGCTGGCTCAGGTCTCTTCCTTTAAAAGACATAGAACCTAACAGATTCAGTTGGAGTCCTGAGGTAACCACCCTCCAGAGTTAGGGAACCCCTACTCCTGGCCTACTCTTACACCTTTCCTGTGTGTGGGCATATGCACCAGCAATGGATACTACTGTCTGGCGTGTGGTGTAACTTTCTACAAACGCACTCATGCGGTCCACATCCTTCTCCCAATGGCTGTAGGCCCTGATCAGTGGGAATTTTCCCCGCGTCTCATGGGGCGCCCACTGCGGTAGTTCCTCCTTTGGTCCGTGCCTCTCTGCTTACGTGTGAGCACTTTGCAAGGGGATCTGCCTGCGTGCAGCACAGCTATGCTTCAACTTGACTAGAAGTTGCCAAATCCCTTCCCAAAGAGGTTGCTGAAATGACTGCCCACCCGAGTTCTCTGTTGCCCCATGGCCTCACCAC